TTCTTTGGGAAATACCAACCCTTTAACACCCGAAAAAACTGACTTAAGCCCACCCCACCGGTGCCCTACACAAGCACGCACACAACTCGCCCACACATGCGCACATTCATGAAAAGACACTTTGACGCGGATGAATTAAACAAAACCCCACGTTTTAGTGTATTTTTATGGTTTTAGTGATATTTTGACGCCTAGAGGTAGGCAACCTGCTTTAATCACTTTCGGCAAGTAATTTTTCTAGTGCAGTTTACATGAGAGAATACATTGCGACCCCTTCGCGGTCGAAAAACCATGTTGTAGGCGGTTTTTAAGCCCTGCCCCTGCTGGGTATGCAACCCTCCGTAGAGCGGTCCCCACGCGGAGTAGGCTTGGGCACCACTTCTTAAATGTGTCCTATAGGTATGTACTTCATACCCTCCAAACGGTTTTTCTCTACGGTAAATTGAAAGCTCGGATGGCTTAACAAGCGTACTAAAACTGTCGCGCATCACACACGCAGCGCGCAGACCGCCCCGCCATAAAAGTGTAGTGCGTGGCGTTGCGCACGGCTTTATATGTACGGGGGTCCGATTGCATGATACACCTAGGGGACACTGCATGGGGTAGTTATGGGGTCACGTCACCCGCTTCGGCCATCGAGGGGAAAAGAGAGCGATTAATGCAGCTGTGGGGGGGGGGGGAGGGAAATGCCGTCTGATTGCGACCCATTTTATAGGGTTATCAGGGGAGGAAAACTAAGCCATATTGAATGAGATCAATGGGATTGCGTGGTGGCCTTTTCCCTCCGACCGCCTCTCCGTCGCGGTGCCTCTTCTTCCTTGCGGTGGTGTGGCGATCGTGGTCGTCGTGGGGGCCGAGCAGGGCCGGAGCGCCCGACAAAGACCGAGAGAGAATGGTCAGCTTTCGCGATGACAGGCGATAGTGGTGCGCTCTGTCGGTATGTTCGCACGTTTGATGGATCGTCTGGAGATAGCTGGGGGAAAGAGGGAGGGGGGAGCGGGGGGGTGAGGAGAGTAGCAGGAGACTATATTGAAGTTCCCGACACGTGC